TGCACAGGAACAGGTCAAAGTGCTGTGGACTCACAGCTTAGAGTTGTGAGCACCGGATTCACTCCCACAAGAAGACAGTCGTCGCACAGCAGAGTACAGCAGAGTCTAGCAGAGTACATATAAACAACTCGGAGAGCAGCTCTGTAGAATATCTTCTTTTATTCTATCTACAACTATACAAACTATATACAGAGCTTAATAGGTCTAAGCATAAATGAATGCTGCACTGCACTGAGTGTCTGCAGCTGCTCTTAGCAGCAACCTTATCTCTACACACGATCTCTAACACTCAGTCTCTCTCTCTCTCTCCCCAACACTGACTGACTGACTGATTTGGTGCTGGAGCAGAATAAGTAGAGAGCAGAACACGCCTCCTCCTCTCTGGAGAACCAGCAGACTCCTCAGGAGATTCTTGGACATGGGAGGGGTGAAATCTCCTCAGTGTCATCACCCAAGATGAATCACGAGGCACAGTTTGTTTGTTTGCAGTTTGTTACCAGTTAGCAGGCTTAGGCTTGAATGATTGTGTAGGCCTTGCCTTACTGCTTCTGTTCTTAAGAAGCTTTGTCTCATGACACAAGGTGGTCATCTCCTGCCTTCCTTCAAGGGTTAGGAAGCAGAGTAGCGAGGGGGAAAGGAAAGGCTTCTGTAGTTTTATAATTTACAGCGTTATCTGATTTATTGCACCTGCGCTTCAACTTGCAGACTTTACTTCTATTGCGAAATACAGTTTCCATTCTGCAGGAAGCTAAGGACCATTTCTGTCTTATTCCTATGGTGGGGTCCAATGCTTGTGTTAAGTGTGCTATTTCCTATTGGCTTCAGAGTTAATCACTCTTGCAACGAAAAGCAACATTGAACAGAAGCCACATAAATACATACCATGTAATACAGTCAATATTGTCTAGTAGTACTTTGCACTGGTTTATTCTTGAAATAATATCCTTTGCCTCATAGAATGTTCTTAAAATGTTATCTGAACAGAGATATGGCAGCATGTATAGTTGTTCAGAAAAGCTTTTTTCTGATGGAGGGAAAAAGACCAGACAGCACTTTTTTGTTACTCCAAAGCTTGTAAGGCAAGCCTTATGAATCAGGGCAGATGTAATGCTGGAATAGAGGAGGAAGTGAAATTCTAACAGAGCATCTTGTTGTACTGCACAGCTTATCTCAATGTCTGGAAAGTTACTTCCTCAGTTCTCAGGGGAAATGTGTAGGTCAGAAAAGGCTCAGTCTACAAATATCTAAAAAAGAGTCTAACATGGGTTATACTTGTTTTGATGATAGACATTTTTTTCACAAAAAAAGCTTTTGTATGAGCTTGTCTGAGACACTTACTGTTTTTGAGTTGTTGTTTTTTCCAAATCCATCTCATATTTGGGTGAACACAGATGACCATTTACCAAGTAGTAATTTACTACTCTGGTAGGTAATTTATTGCAGTCTGCTTTTAATAATTACTTGGTAAACCAGTCATCTGTAGAGGGCTACTTGGGTAATCTATAGAAGCTGCTCTGCCATTCTCCTTCAAAGTTTCAAGGAGAATCTCACAACTTCCCTAAATATCTGATGGAGTGCAAAAGCGCAGAAAGATTTTTCTTGCAACTTTGCAGGATATCAAGAGCCAACGCAGACGACCATTTTACTACACATCTGCACCTGATGGGTGGCAGGAGACAGGGACACACTGTCCAGTTTCACCACCTGAGGCAAAATGGGAATTGCTACCTCCTGCACCATCAGGACATATGGCAATCATTTCCTCTTCCTCACCTCCTCTCCTCCATTTTCTTCTTCCCTGGTCCCTTTCTGACTAAAGTCCAAGCTGAAGGCAGCTTCATGCAACAACCACTTCTCTGTGTGTGTTAAAATGTGAGTTGAGAAACCACAGGAACACCCACCCACCCACCCCTGAATAACACAGTTTGAGTTTTTCACCCACTGGGATCACAGCAGCATGAATACGGGATTGTACCTCCACACACCAAAAACCAACTGCAATCACTTCCCCACCAGGAATAGCTGTGTGAATCTGCTGTATGTCTCTGGGGAGGCAAAGCAATGAGGACAAGAATTTCAGCTGCGCTGTTTAAACACATAAGCATAATTTTTTTAAAGGATCAGAGTTGGCAGTTTGCTAATTAAACTGTACTTAATCTGAGTATGTGATATTATGTAAACGGGGTCAACTCAGTTTTCAGCTTTCAAGAGAGGTTCCACTAAATACAATAGGACAGATATGTGTTTCTTCTCTTAGTAGCCGCCTTCTTCTTCTTCTTCTTCTTCTTCTTCTTCTTCTTCTTCTTCTTCGGTGATCACGCGTAGCTGAGTAAGATTGTCTTCCATGAACACAGTCTTAACAGTAAGTGACTGTGGAGGCCAATTATGGATCCACATGTCCTTCCACAGTGGGGACATAGGTTTCCAGGCGGGAATTGATCATGGTGAGGGTTTACCAAATGTGCTTTCCTCTTAGCTTGCTTCTCCCTTTCGTCCTGAGTTTGAGTGTCTTCAAAGTCCATGACACCTTTGGTAAAGGCTGTTCTCCAATTGGAGCACTCACAGGCCAGTGTTTCCCAATTGTTGGGTGTTTATACTACATTTTTTTTTAGATTTGCCTTTAGAGAATCTTTAAACCTCTTTTATTGACCAGCAACATTTCCATTTTTAAGTTTGGAATAGAGTAGTTGCTTTGGCAGATGATAATCAGGCATCCGAACACCACGACCAGTCCAACAAAGTTGACGTTGAAGAATCCTTGCTTTGACACTGGTGATCTTTGCTTCTTCCAGTACACTGGCATTAGTTCGCCTGTCTTCCCAAGCAATGTGTAAAAATTGTCAGAGACACCATTGATGGAATCTTTCAAGGAGTTGGAGATGGCGTTTATAAGTGTCCATGCTTCACAACCATACAGTAAGTTTAGTAGTACCATAGCTTTGTAAACATTTGGTTTCCCTGAGAATGTCCCGGTCCTCAAACACTTTGCACTTCAATTGTGAGAAAGCTGCACTCTCAGAGCTCAGGCAATGCTGGATTTCGGCATCAATGCCAGCCCTTGTGGAAAGGTAACTGCTCAGGTAACAGAAGTGATTGACATTTTCCAACATTATGCCACTGAGTTGGATTTGTGGTGCTGCAGAGGGGTTGCTTTGTGCTTGTTGGTGCAGCACTCTGGTTTTTTGTAAGCTTCTGCAAAGATATTTAGGATGGTTTGGAGGTCATCATCTGAGGATGCACACACTATGTTGTCATCTGCATAATGAAGCTCTATGACAGAAGTTATGGTAACCTTACTCTTACTTTCTTTACTCTCTTAGTAGCCTACTTGGTCTTGGGCTATGTACACATTAATGGTTTAAAACACAGCAGGGTCATTTTCCATCTGCCCTGCTGCATTTCAAGCTGCATTTTTACATTGCTGTACACACCTGATGGGGAGCATCTTTCAAACCAATACACATTCCCCAATTTGTTTCCTCATTCCTGCAGGCCCCCACAACTCCCATGCAATGAACTTGTCATCTGCGCATGTACAATGGCTGCCTCAAATGTAGACGCAAATATTTAGGGCTGGGAAGCTGAAGTTCAGAATACTTAGCAGATGGTTTGAAGTGAATTCATTATTATTTTCTCAGTTTTACGAACAAACCAAGAAAGGGGGGGGGGTTAATGTGCTGACCTAAACAAAATAAATATTTACTAGGGTATCATTGCATCAGTACAAAGAAATGAATACAAAACAAAACCTTGTTGCTTCTTTTCAGCAATTGATGCTCACAAAAATAGCACTCACCAATGCACATTCAAAGGTTACAGGTTTTAATCATTTTTCCTCTACTGCTTAATAATATCATTTGATTACTTTTTGCTCGTCATGGATCAGGTTTTGTTTCGCAACAAAATGTAAATGTATGTACTAGAAATAACTAGGCATTGCCTAAAAAAACAAAAAAACAAAGAAAAAGTGAAATTGTGTTTGGTTTAATTAGTTTTAGTCTCAGACCATCAAGTGCCAAGCCACTGAGAAGCATTTTGCAGGGATCTTACAATGCAAGTCTTGAAGAGATAAAGTATTCTACAGATCATGAATGCTCATGTCAATATTAAGACAATTCAATAATAAACTTCTCTGGATAAATGCTTAAAATGCGTTATTTTCATTTGTTTGCTATTTTAAGTCCAGATTTGCTAAGAAGCATCAGACAATGGCCGCTTGAGAAATAGTATGATCTGTTTCCCAGAGACCCCATCTCTTAAATGCATTTTCTAAAGTTCTTCAGATAGTCATAGACTCTGGTTAGAAAAAAATCCTATTTCTTTATCTTATTTTTTCCCCTTGTCAGTTTTTGTCCGTCTTTTAGAAACGCTAGGAGAGGTAGATTAGTGGGGAACTAACAGGAAATACATGATCCTCCAAAATTAAAGGGGCCCCTTTCCCACATCTCTTTCCACGATTTTCGATTTCCTGCCTACCCTTTGTGCAGTGCAATCCTATGCGTGTCTATTCAGAAGTAATAATTGCAGACTTATCCATTAAATTTTAAAGGAGTGCGATATTTTTTAGATGCTAAAATAGATTGAACAGCGAGCATAGAAGGGCAGTTGTTTGAATTTTAAAAGGAATTGCTGGCGGAGTCTTCATCTTAAAGTGATACACCTTAATTTCTTCCATCTGTTCTTATAATGAGAGGGGAATTCAATCTCTGTTGAAGCCTTAGTTCACACCATTAAATTTTCTATCAGTTCTTGTTCCACCACTTCATGAACCATCCATCCACTTGAATTAATTTCTCTGAGGATAGCTACTTGGAAGCCTGTGAATGAATGGCCACATAAAGTTAAAGTGTTCACTTGTGGACTTGTTGATATTTCTGCTTTTTATGTCAGATTGGTGAATTTTCATTATTTTTCTTAAACAGGAACTGCTCTGCCTGAAACTGCTGCTAGACATCCTTGATAGGGCATCGTCCCACTTCACACGGCTAAGCTTTAAGACAGGCTTCCTCAACCTCAGCCCTCCAGATGTTCTGGGACTACAATTCCCATCATCCCTGACCACTAGGGATCATGGGAGTTGTAGGCCAAAAATATCTGGAGGGCTGAGGTTGAGGAAGCCTGCATTAAGAGGACAAGCCACCATGAACCTTTAGCTTACAAGTTCCCCCTCCTCAAACACTGTTGGGAGGAGACAGGGGCTCCCATGTTTACTTCCATTTTGTAATTTCTAAAGCAACTTACAAAATGGTTGAAAGCCCAGAAGACATAGCATATAAAATATTGTATTTCAATAAAAGGTTTTGAACAAACCCAGTGGAAAAACAACAAAAAACTTTAAGCAGGAAGACTCTTTCCTTCTATATGCCATCAGCAAGCCTGACATAATCCACTAAATGCCTGGGAGAAAGGAAAGGTTTTAACCTGGTGCTTAAAGGATGCTGATGATGGCTGGCAGGTTGGGACCTTACTGGCAAAAGCGTTCCACGGACAGGGATTCACAGCCAAAAAGGCCTTGTTGCCGCCCTCCAAATCTCTTTCCAAGGGCTCCCAGAGACAAAAACCAAATGGTCTGGGTAGGTTTATATACCAGGAGAGGTGCTCTGTATGTGTACCATATAATTAAAGAACTCTTATTCCACTTCAAGACATGGGAGAAACCTGGGAACTGCAGTTTATTAATGGTGCTGGGAATTGTAGGTCTGTGAGGTCATCACCCTTAAACTACAGCTCCCACAATTCTTAGGGGATCCACCTCTTGAGGTGGTATTAGAATGCTTTAAATGGATGGAGTGGATGAGGCCTCAGAAATGTGCAGGAAAGCAGTGCTGCTCTGCCAAGAGCAACATGCCTCAAGTGTGTCCACGACTGCATGACTGCATTCTTCGTTCTGAACTGCCCTGTAATCTTATGATGAAGGGTAGTATATAAATCTTAATAATTATAACAATAATGCACTAGCTTTTTCAATAAGGCAAAACCATTTTCAAAGGCAGCCCCACACAGAGTCCATTGCAGTAATCTAATCTAACCTTTAAATTGTCAGAACGTAGATTACTGCAGCCAGGCTACCCTGGCATCTTGCTGAGCCCTGAAACAGTCTTCTCAGCATTTAAAAGGGCATGGCTGTTACTTTGGTTCACCACAGGGTCTTGTGATTTGAGGTAGATGCAGGATAATAGAATTCCATGACCATTTAGTAAGGAATGTGATCTGACAGCCGCTTTCATTCATCAGAAGAGTAGATGAATCAATTGGGCCAGGGTGGCCCTCCCAGCAACTTGAGGAAGATTTGCTAGTTGCAAGTGGTCACAGAATCTTACCATTTTGTCTCTACTATTGACAATATGTCCCCGCTGTCATCTGATTGCCAGTCAGGACTAATTTCAAGTTGGGTGGCTGCCTGTAGCCTGTCATGGATCTACCATCTACTGCTTCTCAGTTGTCATCACTTTCAAGGATAGGCTGCATGTATTGACGATTCACTTCAGTGCCTTCACCTTCAAGATATATGTAACAAAGGGAGTCCTGTTTTCTTGTGTGGGTTGTTTTTGTAGAAGGCATTCCAGAGCTGTTCTGGACTGGCAGCTGCGAGTGTACATTGCCTATCTGAATTCTTCCAAATGTTAGGAATAAAAATTGTCAAAATATTATTACGATTTATTACCCTCCCTTTACCCTAAGTGCCATGGTGGGTTTAATTAAAACATAGTGCGGTTTGCATCTGAACATGCCATTCTTTCATTAGCAGACTGTAAGAGAATGGATGTCGTGATGCATTGCAGCTAATAGCTTGAGGCGTAAGGGTAGATAGCGTTTCCTGTATAAGTTGGTCTGCATTGCTTGTGTGACGTAACTATGGGATCCAGAAAGTTGATGTGAATGCCTTATAAGGAAGGCAGTATGCTTCTAAATACCAGTTGCTGGAAACCGCAGGAGGAGAGCATGCTCTTGTCCTTGCGCATTTCCCACAGGCATCTGGTTGGTCATTCTGAGAAGAGGATGCTGAGAACAGGAAGATGGGCCATTGGCCTGATCCAGCAGGCTCTTCCTATGTTCTTATGGTGGCAGGGTGGGTGACACAGGCAGGGGAAGCAGCAGTAGGGCTAGGCAGCACTTCTGTAGAGATGAATCTGTGTGATGGGTCAATGCACATGATGCATGCCAGTAGGATTAAATATAACCAAAAATGTTGTTCAGGATTGGAAAGTACTGCTCCAAGTTCAGCTATTAAGGTGTTAGAAGACCACAGTGCAAAGCACTGCAGAAGACATGGCAGGCTTAGTGGCACTTGATGGGAGAGAATGGAAAACACAGATTCTAAATAATTATCTTGCCGGATTCTTAACCCATTTTGAGTAATATCATTTTCATATTTATAGCATGACCCTCTCTAAAATGCCCCTTTAATGCAATGTTTTGCCAGTGCTCTGTTAATTTAATATTATATGATGACAATTGTACCTATTCAAATGGTGCTTGGCTCATTATTCACCATTATATAGCAACAAGATTTGTTCTTCTATGTGCTGATATGTACAAGAAGGTACGCTCATCTCGCTTTACTAGCCAAGGGAGCCGGTGTTTGTCTGCAGACAGCTTCTGAGTCATGTGGCCAGTATGACTAAGCCACTTCTGGTGAACCAGAGCAGTGCACAGAAACGGCATTTACCTTCCCGCTGGAGCGGTACCTATTTATCTACTTGCACTTGACATGCTTTCGAACTGCTAGGTTGGCAGGAGCAGGGACTGAGCAACGGGAGCTCACCCTGTCATGGGGATTCAAACAGCCTACCTTCTGAACGGCAAGCCCTAGGCTCTGTGGTTTAGACCACAGCGCCACCCGCGTCCCACAGCACCACCCGTGTTTAGTATTATCTGTGAATGAGGGCATTAGTTCAGCCACAATTCAGCAATGTTTAACTCCCAACTTAAGTTTCTTTGAAGCCAAAGTATTATCATACTGCTGACTTGGGCCTCATTAGAATCTATTCTCACTTGTTAGATAGTTGTGCAATTGCTCACTGATGTTTTCTGGGTGGTTTGAACAATTTGTTTGGAGGGACCACGTTTATACAAGAAAGTACTCAAAATGTGCTAGTCAAATATAGTCCCCTGTGCCCTCTGATGGCCCTAACACAAGCTCCAGTTTTCAGATATGTCCATGGATGATGTCCAAGATCCAAAATGGTGAGAAAAACAAAACTTTTTATATCAATTTAGAAAATATAAACATGAAAACGTTAAGGCAGAGCTTAAAACTATATACTCAACTTTTAATAGTAGTTACAACCTGCTTTCTGGGGTTACGTATGATCATGTTTGAAAAGTGAATTTCTGCATCTATTCTGTATTTCTAATGCTATGAAGCCACTCTGAGTGCACTAGGAACAGAAGAGTGGGGTGTAAATAACTTACAGAGTTTAACTTCTATATGTAAACATCGCCCAAGAAGCATCCATGACTGACTGATATTTGGCACTTAATTTTTATGATTGTGCTAAGCTACTCAAGAGCTTAGCTTTGTTTCAGAAATGCTTCAGTGCCATTTTACACCGCTAGGAGGCAAGTTAATTTGTCCTATTATTGAGGTGTCATCACAATGCTTTTTCGTTGAAACATGTCAACTCACTTGCTCCCTCCCACTGCAAAAATTAAAAAAAATGTTCTTCATTCTATCACAATTCTTCACAATTTATACAAGATGTAAATGCATTCTGGTCTGTATGTTTGGGATTACAAACATTCATATTTTGTGTGTGTGCTTGGAAGCCCCATGGAGAGTGCTTGCTTATTTAAATAACTGAAAGTAAATAACCCACTAAAGAGTAATGCAGGGATTCTAAGCCTAAATACACAACTGACTGCATAGCCTGATCTCACATTTTTGAAGTCACTCGGTTTTTGTGTTTGTATTACAGCATAAAAGGTAAATCTTAACATAACTGTTATTGGAATTGCGTGAAAAGTTTGTTTCATCTGCAGAGCCTTGAAATGAGAAAAAAAATTGCCTTTTCTCCAGTATTATTCATGTCAATATGTACCTAGTGATCTTTATCAGTGGATTAACAAACGGAAACCCTCTTGTGGCATTTAGCCAAGTTGGTAAAGTTTTCGGATAAATTTTTAAAGCCATAAATGAAAGTTCTTCATCCAACAAAACTTTTGAACGGTGTTGTTACAAGTTTGCATTGTAACAACAAACTGAAAGTTTTATTTTAAAAAGTCAAAATATCAAACGGCTTCAGCAGTATTACCTACATAAAGATACTTCTCTCTATCTTTGAGGGTGAAAACAGATCAATATTTACCTGGAATTAATTTCCCATAGTCTGTTGCAGGATCCATATAGCTACAGTCTTTTCCCAGATTGCTTTTCATAGCTTTGTCTCTAGAGGGCATCAGTAGAAAGGAGGAGGTTGGGGGAGACAAGAAATGGTGGGAAAGGAGACAGAACTATAAGCTTCAAGAGGTGAAACAGATGATTTGCATCCCAGCAGCTGACTAGCTCTTTCAGTGATGGTTTTTAGGTGGGCTGTCAATACATTTTTTTTTTTATAATTTCACCTGGTTTTAAATAGGTTTTAACTGTATCTTAGCTTTACTGGGTGTTCTTTTTCTTTGTTACATTTTAATACTAGTTTTATTGTGCTTAGCTTTTATTGTATCCAGTTTGTATCTTTAGTGTTGCAAATGACCTTGAGGGTTTCTTATAAAGGGCCAAAAGGCAATTTATAAATGTTTCTATAAACAAACAAACAAAATAGCCCTGTTCCTGTCACACCTTTCTTACCAAAAACAAGATATGAAACAAATAAGCAATGTGTCTTTTTTACCTTATTTTGGACTTCTTATTTTTTATCGTATCTGTTGATGGGTCCTCTCACCCTTGTGATAAGACTGCCTGTCTCATACTCATCCTAGTAAGAAGGATTTCAGCACACACCACATACAGATGTGTGCAAAAATTGCTGATTGTACCTCCTCAGTAAAAACAACCATTCCCTAGGGGAGCAATTGTGTGCACAAAAAGCCGGTATAATGCAAGCCAGTGTAAATTAAGCCAATTTAAAGCTACACCAGATCCAAACTATGTTCAGCAGTGGGGCTGCTGCTGCTGCT